TTTCTTTTAGAAGAGGATATTTAGAATCCAAACTCTGGGGATCAGTCATGCTTATTGCTTTCAGAGTGTCATTAAGTGAACAGGCCCAGAGAATGTATGCATATACATACATACATACATAATACTTTTGCACATATCTATTTTTATTTCTATATGCATCTATATATACATTAACAGCTATGGGGTCATACCAATGCTTTTAGTTTCAATCCAAAATTATGGGTTTCATTCTAATTTTTTCTTTTTCTATTAGTACTTCTCTTCACTGGGAGGTGAGAAATTTGGCTTCCATTATCCCATTATGTGTACTTATTTGACCAATCTCCTGTAGGTATTCATTCCTCAGTTGCCACCATCACCCCACCCCATCCCACCTTGCCCTGCCCATGTTTCAGCACCCTGCTCTGGAACATTCTCTCTTAGATGAATCCCTCCTCACTCTGCTCAGGTCTAGTTCCATGCACTGTGCCCTGACAGCTGCCTGCTTCACATTGTCCAGGCTCTGACAACGTGTAATAGGCTGCTTCCTCTCTACTTCTCACCTCACCACATCCCCAGCCCTATTTTGTATTTTATTTAGAGACAGGGTCTCACTGAGTTGCTTAGTGTGGCTTTGAACTTGTGATCTTCCTGTCAGGCATGGGCCTGGCATACATTTCCTTTTGATTCTGCTTAAGATGGCCTACAAACTGATGTTGGTCTCAATTTATTGCAGCATTCTGATCTAAACTATACATTCTATCTAAGGTAGGCTGTTTGCTTTCAACCAATAGTATGTTTTGTTATTCAGGGCTCCACAGTCTTTTGAGACTAGATTTTGAAAAAGGATTGCTTCGACATTGTTTCTTTAATTAAATCAATTAATTATAGCATCAGAATTGTCAATATGGCACTCACTTAAGTGCAAATTCAGGTAACTTTGTAAAGTTTGCAAGGAATAGATCCCAGGGTTCTCAAGCTGAGCCACAAAAGCAAACTTTCTGGGGATTGGGGGTGTACAGAATGGGTTGTGTTGATTATTGATCTAGTTACCCATTTAATACAATTGTTTGGAAGAATAAAAGTGAATTGATGCTTCTGCAGGTTATAAATACCTACCCCATCTTATTCCAAGAGCACTAAAGAGGGTAAAAAAATAGTACATGTGACAACAATATTTAAATATATGAGTTCTGAAGACAATGTTTTTTTCACTTACAGGTGAAGTTAAAAATAGTTAACTATTCTTGAAACTACAGAGAAAGACTTTTCTCCTCTCTAATCTCTGATGTAGTTTAGGAAAAGCACCTTAGACACTTGAAGCTGTGAAACTATGACTTTTATTATGAGATGGTGGTCATGGTATTTAAGAAAGATTAACAGATGTGAAGTAAAGTCTTTTTTGTGGCATACTCATTTGTGATGTCTGGGGTCAAGTCACTGATTTTTTTGGTGACTATCAGTTTGTCTTTCCAGTGTGGATGACAGCTCTGAAAGATGTATTGAGCTAATTTACCTTGACTTTCAGCTATCCCTTTCCTCTAAGTATCTACTAGGAAAGTATGAACAGAGAGCTCTTTGTGAAGTATCTTAGAACTTTTCTCACAGTTTGTATTTTTACATGGAAAATACTTAACCCATAATGAACTAAACCACAACCTGAGGCATTCTGGTGGTGCCATATCATCTCTCCTACTTTTTGTGAGTGAAGGTATTTCAGGAGTCCTTAGTAAGACTAATTTATTTGTAAGTTTACTTAGTGACTGGCTAATTATCTTAATAGCTCTGAATCTCACTTCTTCCTCCTGGATTTTCATTTTATAGTGATGTGATCTTAAGCAAGTTACTTAAACTTTCAGTGTCTATTTCCCCAGCTATTTCATGAATATAAAGTTTTTATAAAGATTAAATAAAACAATGTAGATATAGTGGTTCACAGTACCAAGTATAGTCAGCAAGTAATAAACGCTTGCTTTTCTTAGCTATTAAATTCAAGAATCTTACTTTATTTATTTATCTTTTTATTTTGTAATCTTTCCTCAAGGCAGCATATTTGCATCAGCTGAGGGATACTTTAGAGGTTATGCAGTGATTCACAGTGCTGCTCTCTATAGTTGATAGGAAAGGTAATTTTAACAGCTAGTAGTAATGAAAAAAGCCAACTACTAAATCACCAAGATTTGGAAACTTTGAGCCTTCTCTGCACCCTAGGGAATACAAAGATTTAGAGAAATTTTGAATCAGGAAAGAGTGAGAGGAACTTTGTGTAAAAATAGTAGCATACTATATATTCGTGCTAAGCCTTGTTGAAAACTTGCTGCCACTGAAGACACAAATTCATATTTATACGATTAGGTGCAATTATGTGAGTCTCTCAGCAGTACTTGGAAACTAAGAGCAGAGGAATTCAGTAGTTGGGGTAAAGCAGATTTTGATGAAGATATGAAATCTTGAAGACAGTGGTTTGAGGAAATAGAACATAGTGTATGGCTAGGTAGAAAAGGAGGTGAGGGCAAAGAAAGTTTATTATTATTAGGAAACCCAAGATGAAGAGATGAAGAGATGCAAGTACTCATTAGGCTTAAGTACCAAGTACTCATTATTGGCTATAAAGGTTCAAAAGGGTTAACATAATACAAAGCTTTGGTGGGGTTTTATAATTTTAATATTTTAATCTTGGGTGACTTCTTGGTGATAGATATTCATGATTATGATCTACAGTTGTCAGCTTGGTGTTGCTACACTGAAATACCTGAGGTAATTCACTCATAAATAGAGAAGGTTTGTTTAGCTCATGGTTCTGGAGATCCAGTCCAAGATTGGGTGTCCTCATAGCTTTGGACCTCTGGTGAGGCTGCCAGATGCCAACAGCGAGGAGTGTCTGGCCAGCCCAAGTAGATCATATCTCAAGCTAAGAAGCAGAGAGACCAAGAGATTGGGTCAGAGAGTGGGTACAAACCTGGGGGCCAAGCTTTTAAAACATGGGCCTTGGGGGACATTATCCACATTCAAACAATAGAATGGCCTTAAGAGTAGGTGGGAGAGAGAATAAAGGAATGGTACTAGAGTTGAAGAGGTTGAACTGCAAAGTCAGAGTGTTCAATGGATTATCTCTTCTTGTCTCAGAAGTTCCCCAGAGTTTTTAGTTCCTGTCTGAGAGACTAATCTCTAACCCAAGGCATGGGAGCCAGAAGGATCTTGGTCTTCAAATGATATCCTGTTTACTAGAAAAAGGAGAAAAAGAAGGAGGAAGAGGAAAGAGAAGAGGAGCACAAGATTCTTCTGGAAAGAGTCTTGAATGGGAAAACGAGGGAAGGGGGAGGGGAAAAGAAGAAACAGAAAAAGGAAATGAAATAGTCCCAGACCTTGCAAATACATTTCTACCAAGGCATCCTGCCTGTCATGTTGAAATATTTTTTGTCTCAGGTTGTAATCTTTCTACCTCATGGGAACAGCGTAGTTCCTTGACTTGTCCAGAATGTGTTGTATCATGGCAAGGGGATTGAAGTTTGCAAATGGAAGTAAGGTTGCTCATCAGCAGATGGGAAGGATATTCTGGATAATGAGTGTGGGACCAATGTGACTACAAGGGTCCATGTAGGTGGAAAAGGAAGGGAGAAGTCATGTAAAGACTCCACCCAACGCATGCTACCTTTGCAGATCGGAGAAGAGAGCCCTGAGTCAAGGAATTCAGGTGGCTTCTAGAAGCTGCAAAAGAGCACCCTAAGAGCCTGCAGAAAGGAATGCAGCTTTGCTAACTCCTTGATTTTCGGCTAGTAGGAGCTATTTCAGATCTCTAGAATTTAAGGCAATACATTTGTTTATTAGGTGGCAGGAGTCACATAGGTGTTTTCAGCCACTGAGTTTGTAATTTGTTTCAACAATAGTGGGAAGTTAATACATACCCTTCCAAAAGTCTTGATCTCTCTTTATCCACTGTGAAGTTCTTCCAACCACTTATCCCAGGCCTGAGGGAACTACCTTGCATTTGAGCCACTGTGGTTGACTTGGCCACCTGACTTTATGTAGGATTGGGTGAGCTGGTGTCCCAAACCTCTTTCTGAATTCATGTGGTTGGCTGTCAGCCAGGGAGACCTCCATAAGGAGGCCAAATTCCTCCTGAATGGAGTAAGGATGCCTGTTTCAGCGCAGAAGTGAAAAATCTTGGCTGGACTATCCTAGTAAATTCTCTAGATGCCTGGCAAGCACCCTGGTTTGTGGCATTCTCTCACAGCTTGAGCCTCAGAATAGACGCTGGCCCACCACAAGCAGATTGGATAGATACCTTCCTGAGATACCACTTTCCTTTTGAGTGAACCGAGGTGGGCTAGGAAAGATGAGATTTTCAAAGTAGAAAAGCATGCGCTGACCTGCAGACTAGAGGGTCTCACAGCCATTTGCCCTAGTCACCTCACTGTGCAGAAGATGGGGACTTGTCCAGAGTCAAGCTAGCAAATTAGCTGGGACCATTTCTCTTTGTGTGACTTGGCAAAGAGGAAAACTGCCTATTAGTTTTCAAGTGGGTGTCTTGGAAGAGGATCCTGGAGAGGTCAGTGCTGGTGAACAGTCAGAGAGAGCATTGGCCGAGCAATGTTAGAAAAAGTTAAGGAACTGGCCAGAAAAGCAGGCAGCGCGGAGCTGGGGAGGACAAGGGACTTGGGTCCCCAGTGGTTCATGATCATACTCAACATTTGCGAGGGGCTGGCCTGGGGGCCTCAGTTAGCAACTTCCTCCAGTGCGGTTCAGGGTGGATCTCCCGGGTCTCCCCTATTTGGCCCCCCTGTGCTCTGGGCGGGGCGGGAGGAGTGCGGGGGTGGGAGTCCTGGAGGAAGATGCACCGAGCTGGCTGCAGGCCGCGCGGGCGGGGTGCAAAGGCAGAGGGGTGGGGATCTGGGGTGGGCTGCGCCCTCCCGCTCCCACCCACTCCACACCCCGCCGAAAGCGGACACTGTCAGCTGATTCACTCCCCTTTCAGGAGGAGGGAGGGGAAAAAGGTACCTAGCCCCTTTCTGCTTAAAAAAAAAAAAAAAAAAAAAAGGGGGATCAACAACAGCAGCTTTGCAGCCGCTCCTTCCCCACGCCCGGACCATGCACCCCTGCATCTTCCTGCGCGGCCACAGGCGAGCCCTTGATTTTGGGAACTGAGGGCTAAAACTTTTTGACTCTCCTTCTCCCTAACAACTGAATCATGCCATGTGCCCAGAGGAGCTGGCTTGCAAACCTGTCCGTGGTGGCTCAGCTGCTTAACTTTGGGGCGCTTTGCTATGGGAGACAACCTCAGCCGGGCCCGGTTCGTTTCCCAGACCCGAGGCAAGGTCAGTGGCTTTTCTTTCTTTCCTTTTAAAACAGTGGTGGTGAGACCTGTGGAAACTTGCTCGCTCCTTTCTCCCTTCCCCCACCCGGTGGAGCTGAACCCTGCACACCGCTTTCTGCCCAGTTTAAGGAAACCTGGGCTGGGAGCTCAGCGGGTACGCTTGCCTTTCTCCGGAGCCAGCATTTGGGGGAGGACGGTAATTCCCACTGAAAGGCGAGTGTCCTGCGCCCTTTCACACGGATGACACTGCGGTCTTTGAAAGACTCAAGAGTTAGCTGGCGACTTCTCTCTCTCTTTTGTCTTCTCTTTGCTGCTTTGTTGCAACCTCCTATTTCTCAAATTCTGAACATTAAAAAAAAAAAAATCCGTTTTCTAAAGAAGTTCCAACTGGGCACCGGCGGTCAGTGCAGTGTTTCTAGTTAGTCTTAAACTCCTGGTCAGGGAAGGGGAAATGTGATTCCGCCCTCCTGCTGAGCACGCTTGGCTGTGTTTTGATTTCCTGGAAAGATTTAGGGTTGTATTTTTAAAATAACAGCCTTTGTGGGGGGAATTTACCTCTGAAGGGGTTCACTGTTCCAGTCCTGCCTGGCAGCTGGCTGGTTCTCCTTTTGAAGATTGTGAAATGCATGTTATAGAAACCACTGGAGGCGGTGTGCTGGGTAGTTTGTTATTTTTAAAAAATATATTTTTATTAGTTGTTGATGGACCTTTATTTTATTTATTTATATGCGGTGCTGAGAATTGAACAGTTACTCACACATGCTAGGCAAGCACTCTACCATTGAGACACAACTGCAGCCCGTAGCTTGTTATTTTTAATATTATTTTTTTTAAACCTAAAGCTTGGAGTCAGGTGGTACTGTGGCCTCTGCTCCCCCCACCCCTTTGGACTCCTAAGGTCAGAGACATTTTTTTTTTCTATTTGCTGTAGAGTTTATTGTACCTCTGGTGAAGAAAGAGCAACAGCAATGGCCTGTGTGTATCTGCCCATCTGACCACTAGCTGAAGCCTTCAGAGTGCAGGAACCTTTGCTGCACTCAGCCCCTACTTCATTGATGGGGAAGCTGAAGATTGGAGGGTTTATGAGCCCTGCTAACGGTAGAGCAAGGTTTTGAACTGGTGCCTGATTCCTACAATGCTGCAGCACTACCCCATTGAAATATTAGGAATAACACTCACCACCCCTCCCCCACCCCAAGCACTCAGTTAACATTCATTAAGTCCCGTGTTTGCTAACTGTGGTCAGGTCTTGGGAAGGATTCTTTTGCGACAACCTTTTAATTCCCAGAACCACTTGGGTGACAAACTTTGCCAGCTTGTTCAAGTTTAGGGGATTTCTAGGCTGGGTTTTCTGCCCACGTTGCAATGTTCAAATTCTGCTGGGGAACTGGACAACTGCAGCTTTGAGAGCTATCTGATGCAAGTCCCTCCCTCCCTTTGCTTTACTTGGAAGCTAGAGCCCGCAAACACTGGGGTGAGATGTCAATCAGCCAGCAGTGGCTTGTGTAAACGGTGGAGATATAATCTCCCACCCCCAAGTTTAAAATAGCAGCGCTTGTTGTTCTTTGAAAAACAGTCCCTTTGTGAAAAGTCTCTCTTCTGAGGCAGCACAAACAAAGCCTGCAAGCACTTCCCAGGGCATTTGGAGAGGATTTGGTTCAAAGACATACGTTCTCCTGCACTGGTTTCAGCCCCACTTGCTGCACATCTTTTTAAGGGAATTCAGCCTGGTATAGAGTGGACCCCTCAACCTTACTGGTTCCTCTCTGGAAAGTGAGAAGGGAGTCTTTTCCCTAGTCACCTGAGGATATTTAATATTGAAAATCAACATAAAGTGCTTCGGGTTTATTAGTGATGCATATGTATTTAAATTTAAAAATAATTTCGGTTTTTAAAAGGCGTTTCACCAATCTTAATTCATTAATGGATTTACAAACAGTCCACTCTTGGTGCTAAGGAGAAATTTCTAAGCAGACTTCCATTTAGCACAAAGGGGTAGAAAGAGGAGAGACTTAGGAGAAGACAGGAGAGGGTGAACTCTTCTCTATAGTTATAAGGGGATTCTAAAGTTTCCAGGGAATAGGGTGACCTAGATTTTGCCCCCAAATGACATTCCATTTCCACTCTGACAACATTTTTTAATTACACTAAGATCCTGAATATGTCACCTTGCAAGCTACTTCAGAAATCATCTCACTTAACCTTCTCATCTTTATTTTTACAGATGAGAAATGGGAGGCCTAGGTGGTTAGTCGGAGTCAGGATGTATTTTTTGAGCAACTACCAAATTCCACTTCACTAGGGGGTTGAAGCAGGCAACACAGGGTCTCATAGTTGGAAACAGATCCAGATAATCCACATATTAGATAATCTTGAAGGGTCCTTGTAGTTCCCAGGGTTGACCAAAGATAAAGCAAATCCTTTCAGGGACTAGAAGCCAGAAGATTCCACTAACTCTGCTCAGTAGTTTCTCCACATCACTCATTTCTGATGTAAGAATGTACTATGACTTTTTCAAGGTTTTTTGATTCACAACGAAGTATCAAAACAAAAGGAAAAACTAACCTTGTGCATAATATATTGCCTTTGTTCTACAGCCAATAATATCCCCTTAGGTTTATTTATTTCTGTACAAATGCTCTCAGTATACAGCGGTGTTCCATTCTGATGAACCCATTGAAGTTGAAAGTATCCTAACTTGAAAATGTACTTAATGCACCAAAACCTCACCTACATCCCAGCTTAGAAACACAATATACTACCAGGTGGCTGTTTCTGCCTGTGGTTGTGATGCCTCTGGTTACAGGTGACAAGTCCCACATGTTGAAGTTTGAACATTAGAGAAGCACGCAGAGGCAAGCATATAAAGCAGGGTTTATTTAAAAAAGGGGTAACATAGACTTCTCCCAGAGGGAGGAGGGGGCCAGAGCTGGTATCCTGGTATCCCAAGAAGCAAGGGTGTTCCATCTTTTTATAAGTCTTAGACTTCCTTTGTTCTCCTGCTCTCTTCCCCTTATCTTTCTCCTTCCTGCACAGTGACTAGGTCCAGGGGATGTTTGGTGGGGTTACCAAAAGGTGGGAAACAGGTGGCTGAAGGGGCAAGGGCAGGATGCAGCAGCCCAGGACACATTAATTAACAACTTTTACTACTCAATGTAGAAGAGGCAATTCCTGGGACAGGTTACTTTAGCGACAGGTTGGAGCAGGAACAGGTTGTTGATAAGGGTGGAGGAGGGCCTCTGAAGGCATTCCAATTCCTCAGGGGACAGTCTCCGACTTCCTGGACTCGCTCAAATTGGCCTCCTTGATTTACCTATCTATACTGACTGTCTGTCTAATTCTGGCTTCAGTTGTGTGGCTGACTGGGAGTTGGGGCTTGCTGCTGCTGCTGATCATCATCAGAAAAGAGTATCATAACCAAACATCACTGGCTCTGGAAAAAAATAAAATTCAAAGTAGTTTCCACTGAATGCCTATTGCTTTTGCACCACCATGAAGCTGACCATTGAAAGTCAGGGACCCTCTACAGGGTTAACAAGGCACCAGTCATTTCCATGGTCTGTTTTGCTCTTGACAATCTCATGCAATCAACAGGGCAGGCACTTTATCCCACGTTAAAGATGTGCTCCAGGGTGCACAGGCTTGCATAAGAACAGATGGAGCCAGGCACCTGAGGCAGGAGGATCTCGAGTTCAAAGCTAGACTCAGCAAAAGTGAGGTGCTAAGCAACTCAGTGAGACCCTGTCTCTAAATAAAATAGAAAATAGGACTGGGGATGTGGCTCAGTGGTTGAGTGCCCCTGAGTTCAATCCTTGGTACCCACTCCCACCCCACCCCCCCAAAAAAAAAACCCCACAAAACAGAAGGAGTATTGCAGTGTTTCAAGACAAGAGCTATGATCATTTATTTATGCTACTTGCAAAAAAAATTTTTTGCAAGAAGCAAAGGATTCTAGATATTTTCTTAATGTAAGAAGAGACTTTGCAGTTTCATTTTGTTAATTATAGTAATCTTGTCTGGTGGGCAGATGAGTTTTCATAGGGTTGGTGGGCAAATCCAATCTTCTGTGGAGAATTCTATAACTTCGAAGGGACTAACATGATTCTCCACAACTTGTCAACATAAGTCAATATCTATAACAAAAATACAGTTGTATGGTTATGATAACCCATGGAAGATAATTATGAGAACAAACCTCTTGTTATGGGCCAGGCTACATGGACAATGACCAATCAGATTCCATTTTACACTGAGACTTCATATCACATAAGAAATGCTTCTCCCACCAGAAAGCCCCATCTCTGTACCCATTAATAGTTACCTAGCATAACATACTTGGCAACACAAAATAGCAATTCTTATACAATGTAAAATTGTTCTCTTTGCTTTCCATTTTTCTTGGGCAATGTACCTTTTCAGAGATTTATTGTCTAGATATTAGTAACCATTGTCTAGTGTGTACTGAACTAGGGTCATTTTGACCCCCTTCCCTTCTGCTTGCTTGTTGCTATGCCAACCTGGAAAGTCCTGTGGGAAATACCCATGTACCCATTGCACTGTCTTGCTAACTGCCCAATTCAACTTCTTTACCTGCTTGCTTGCAGCTTTGGCATCCCAGATATGGTTTTTGCCTTTAAATATCCTAAAATGCTCAGGCTTGGGGCTGTTCCCTCTAGAGACAGTTATGGGTCCTGTGCGGGGCAGTCACCAGCTGGCCGGCTAAATAAAAGACTCTTCAATTTGGACAACTGGGACTTGGTGTGTTTCCTGAGCCATCTGCCCCACAACACTCTAGACTGTTACAGGAATTTCATTACTTTGTTTAGCAAGGGGGTCTTAGAAAACCAACTGATCTTTTAGATAAAAGTAAACATAAAGAATAAGTACAGATTGTCCTGCGTCAACAAAGTTCCAAAATGGGCACTATACAGAGATGAGCATGGCCACTATATAAGGATGACACAGAAATTGGTGGAATGTTTCATAAAAAAGAGCAACCTA